CCTAATGCAAGTCTCTGCTTGAAGATAGAGCAGCTATACTCATTTCATCAGTGGGTCTGCCTTTAAATGCTGTCTTAGAGTTTTGTTTGCTGCCACAGGTCATTGTGATCAAAAGAAACTGAGGAAGGAAAGGGTTTATTTAGATTACACTTCCAGGTAACAGTTTATCTCTGAGGAACTCAGGGCTGGAACTCAAGCAGGACAGGAACGTAGAAAAGCTATTACATAGGCCACAGAAGATTGCTACTTACAGGTTTGCTCTCAAGGTGACCGTGCCGGGTGGGGGGACAGTCAACATAAGACTGCGGACACCTAGAAGAAAATGAAAGTCAGGGGGTACAGAAACAGACAGCAAGACAAGATTCTGATCAAGCCAACAACCTTTATTCATCACAAAGGGATTTATATTGGACCATAGGGGAAGTGAGGAGGGGAGGGAAAGGGGGTGTTAACTGTAGCTGCAATGAGCCTGGTGGAGCAAAGGTCAATGGGCAGGTTAGATCATCCTGTGTCCCCTGGTAACCTCACTGTAGGTTACAATTCTATCTTTCACAATCTATCTTCTACTGCTCAAGCTCTAGGCCCCAGTGACTTGGTAATTTTCAGTAGGCTTAATCTTTAACTGGCAGATAAGCCTTGAGTCTGTTTTCTGGGAGCTTGCTTCCTATCTTTTTTTTTTTTTTCGTTAGTTTTTTTTAAATTTTAAATAGCTTGTTTTACATGTCAATCCCAGTTCCCTCTCCCTCCCCTCCTCCCGCACTCCCCTTCCACCCTCCCTCCCACCCTATTGCCACATACTTCCACATAGGGGATGTCTAGAGTCTATCATTTTACTCTTGGTAGGGTCAAGGCACTCCCCTAAGAGTCCAGGCTGAGAGAGCATCTCTCTTTGTGCTATAGGCACATGAAGACAGATTGTATACCAGGAATAGACACTGATCCACAGCTCAGAGCCCCATAGGTTGTCCAGGCCTTCTCACTGACACTCACATTTGGGGGGGTCCAGATCAGTCCCATTCTGGCCTCCCCACTGTCGGTCTGGGGTCTAAGAGCACTCCCCTGTTCAGATCAGCTGTCTCTGCTGGTTTTGCCAGCCCATTCTTTGCCAATTTGCTCATCATTCCTCTCTCTCTGTCACTGGGTTCCTTGGGTTCAGTTCAGTGCTTAGATGTGTGTTTGCCTCTGCTTCCATCAGTCCCAGGATGAAGGCTCCCGGATAGTTATAGACATCAAGTTCATTATCAGGAATGGGCATTCGAGGTGGTCCTTCCACTATTGCTTAGCTTGCCAATTGATGTTATACCTTTAGATCACTCGAGGTCACTCTGGTGCCTGATCTGTCTTCGATCCTATGATTCCCTCTTCCCCCTATTCTACCCCCACCCCCTCAACTTCCTGTTCCCCCATGACCAACTCCCTTCCTCTTTACCCCCTCTATTCTTCCCAGGTCCCACTACCCCCCCCTCGCCCTGTTCCCCATCCACTCAGAGGATCTTGTCTCCATCCTCTTCTCTTGGGTACTATGTATATATGCATATCTTTTAGGTTCTTTCCTGTTTCCCAGACTCTCTATCTGTGGAAGTGCAGACTGGCACTATCCTGATCCATATCTAAAATCCATATATGAGTGAGTACATACCATGTTTGTCTTTTTGCAACTGGGTTACCTCACTCAGGATGGTTTCTTCCAGTGCTATCCATTTCCCTGCGAATTTCAAGATTCCATTGTTTTTTTCTGCTGAGTAATACTCCATTGTGTAAATGTACCACATTTTCTCTATCCACTCTTCAGTTGAGGGGCATCTAGGTTGCTTCCAGGTTCTGGCTATTACAAACAATGCTGCTATGAACATAGTGGAGCAGATGCCCTTGTTGAATGAACCTGCCTCATTTGGATAAATGCCTAAGAGTGGAATTGCTGGGTCTAGTGGTAGATTAATATCTTAAGATGTAATATTTCTGCAGTGTGGCCTAGAGTTATGTCTTCTCTATGAGGAGAGCTTGATAATGCTAGGGGTGGATTACAGAGGAGGTCCCTGACATCAAGGCTTGCTTAGTGTGCTTTCTTATAGAACACAGGACTACCAGCCCAGGTATGGCACTGCTCACATTTAAGTGTACCCTTTCAAATCAATCTTCAATCAAGAAAATGAACTGCAGACTTGCCCATTTGCCCATATTGGCAAATATGTTGGAAGATATTTCTTTATCTCTCCCTCTCCCCCTCTCTCATTTTTTCCTATCTCATTTTTCCCTGAAGCCTATCACAAGTACCCTCCCTCACACCTAGCTTACTCTATTCTTTAGATTATTACTGACACATGCAGTCTGCTACATCCATTTTTGTTGTTTGTCTGTATATGGATTCAGGGTTGACCACTGTGTGTTGGACAAACAATAAGGGGGTTGAAGACTGAGATAGCCTACTTCACCCTCTGTCAGCAGTCAGTAATTATGGAGGCTCATTTTCAATTGAGGTTCCCGCCTTCAAAATGACTCTAGCTTTTGCTGAGTCAACAAAAATGAACCATACAAAGCCTGTGATTCTAGTGAGTGCTGAATCTCACTCACCACAGCCTGAATAACACTGAGCTGCAACAATGTAAAGATTTTGAAACTACATATATTACAGAGGAATTTTCTTAATTGTGGTTACTTCTTCTATTTAACTCCTAGTTATATTAAGCTGACAAAAAATAACAAGGACAACACATTTCTTAAAATAAAATAGTGGTTGTCAGAAAAACAGGATGTTTTTAGAGCCCGAGAATACAATAATTAGATTTAGTAAGACGGGAAAAACATTGAAACAGACTACCTGAATAATGCTATTAAATACTACAAATTATTTACCTCAAATTTTATATCCATGGAGAATATCCTTTTAACAATGAACTTAAAATAATGATTTGTTCAGATACACAAATACAAAAGAATTACTCCCTGGCCCTCCTACAGTAATAAAGAAAGTCACCAGGAAGAGTGAAATGACAAAGATCGAGGGAATAATACCAGAAATAATCCATACATGAGCTAAGATGTACAATTTTAAATTTTAATTTCTGAGTACTAAGGCATTTCTACTACTATGATAACATGTTTTGTTTTTACAACATGAACATAAATTAATGTGTGATCACAGCTGTATGAAGACAGAGAGAGAACAAATGGAAAAATATATTCTAAAGATCCTATACTACAGATGAAGTAGGAAAACATTACTTGTATCAAGTTATAAGTTATACCACAATCCCTAGAGCAAGGACCAAAGGAAAAGATGTTCTGGATAGAAAACTATGACGTGAGAAAAATAACATGAATGGAAATCCAGAAGAAACTAATTAAAATGCAATTAATTTAAATTTCTGTGTTAAAGAACAGTAACTGTCAGGAAGTAGAGGGTTAACTGTTAAGGGTGAAATTGATTCAATTTAAGATAATGAAGACTGGGGATAAATAGTGGCAACTGCTACAAAATAATGAAAATGGTGGTAATGCTACAGTATTCCAAACAAAGAATGCTGAAAATGGTAAAGTTGTGCTATGTATAATAATTGTGCCACATACAGAAACACAAAAGTAAAAATATTCAAAGAAAAAATTAGAAAACTAAACATATCTGTAAGTTTTGATTCTATTTAAAAGCATAAGAACAGGTAGCAATAAACAATATTTCATTTAAACAAATATCACCCATCATTGATTAAAGTATAGGGAGAAAGAAGGTAAGATTATTTCTTCAAAATTAAGAAAGAGGTTAACTGTGGAGACAAAGAATGCAGTATGAATGGATCACACAATGAGTTGGATTCGTTGACATTATTACCATACTATTTCTAAATTTATATGACAGACACACAAATGTGTGATTTATATTATTCTTTTTTTTGGTTTTTCGAGACAGGGTTTCTCTGTGGCTTTGCAGGCTGTCCTGGAACTCGCTTGGTAGTCCAGGCTGGTCTCTAACTCACAGAGATCCGCCTGCCTCTGCCTCTCGAGTGCTGGGATTAAAGGCGTGTGCCACCAACGCCCTCCTGATTTATATTATTCTTATTATGAACACATATGTTTGATTCTTTCCTACATATGGTCTACTACACGAAAATAGTTTGGAGAAAGGTAGTAGAATATTACCCCCTTAGCATTTAGGTGAGTACTTATAATGGATGTGAAATATTACTCAAAATTATTTAAGCACAGGCACAAAATTCTTTTGAAGTGAAGTGTCTAAAATTTCATGCTCTTTCAGTACTCTTTTCTTAATGTTTTGCTCTGTAAACAACTGGCTCATTAGACTTTGTGTCAAGTATTGATACACTTTATATGCATTCCCAAAAGTGAAGTACTGACAGACTACACTGGACATTGGCGGTGCACGCCTTTATTCCCAGCACTAGCAGAGGCAGGGAATAAAGATCTCTGTGAGTTTGAGGTCACCCTGGTCTACAAGAGCTAGTTCCAAGACAGCCTCCAAATCAATATGGAGAAACCCTTTCTTGAAAAAACAAACAAACAAAAAGACTATATTTACATTAGAATATATATATTAGTTCCTTTGTCAATAACTTTAGTTTAATTTTTTAAAATAGTAGTATTTTTCCCTTGAAAAATAAACAAGAAGTGAAGTTAATGAAACAAACTCAAGCATCATAAGCAATAATTTTAGGTTTTTGTGACTTACTACTTTGGAATTTTTATATAAAGTCATTTATCACCCACAAAAGATATTTGTCATCATTTTATATCCTGTCTAGAGAATGAATGACTTAATAAATAATTATAGAGGATTTGCATGTACAGTCAAGTCTTTATTAACATCTTAATATTGATGTTTTGCATAATACAAATGCTTAGTTGTTGTGCCCTTTTCCAAAATTCCCTTTGGTTTACCACCAAATTGGAATTGACTTGCCATTGTGATACTTTTTTAAATTTTTTTTCCAGTCGATGGAAGGGGCCTTTATTTGGTCCCAGGGTCAGGGCCAGGTGTGGCCACAGCTTTATTTGACCTTCTTCTTGGGGCGCAGGTTGTTGCTGTGGCCACACTTCTTCTTGCAGCACATCATCTTGTCACAGTTGTACTTCTGGGCCAGCTGAGGAAGGGACAGCTCAATGATGCCCCCGCGAAGACGAAGCACCAGATGCAAGGTGGACTCTTTCTGGATGTTGTAGTCCGACAGGGTTTGGCCATCCTCCACCTGCTTGCCAGCAAATATCAGTCTCTGCTGGTCAGATGGAATGCCTTCCTTATATTGGATCTTGGCCTTGACATTCTCGATGGTGTCACTGGGCTCGAACTCAAGAGTGATGGTCTTGCCCAACAAGGTCTTCACAAAGATCTGCATGTTGGCGTCTGCTCGGCCGCCTTGTTAGCCATTGTGATTCTTGAGACCTCTCTGTAAACCTGATTTCGCAGTCATATTGTAAAACATAAAGAATAAAATGATATTGAATCACGACTGTAACTGCAGAACTGAATTTCAGTGAGTGTTCCTATATTGCAGAGCAAGAGGGAGTGACAGCCGTGATGGTGAAAATTTTGCATGTAAATAAGACCTCCAAATTTTCATTATAAATGAGAGCTTTCTTACATAATACAGAGACCCAAATCCATTTGCTGAATAAATGAGGGTGCTGAGATATAAAACATGCTGGTCCTCCCTAAAACAAATGAGTCAACAATAACTGAAAACTGAAAAAAGCCTAAATTTTAAGATTTTGAATGCATATGAAACTAAAGTATACTGACATCCTTCAGTGAATGTAGCAACATCAATACTTCACATTTGTAAAGAAAACAAATAATATTTTTGCTTTTGTGCAGTACCTGATCATTCGCCAAGTGCTTCTGCATACTTCTTCACTTTGAGAGTCCAGAGACACTATGTGGCTCATATAGTATCACACAGCTATTGAATCAGTACAATACTTAGGTTATTTCTTTTTTAATTCTCACCGTTATATATATGATTTCACACCACAAAATTTATAAGCCTATGCACTTGAAAAATAACTGTAAGTCTACTGAGAGCAAAGGTTACAATGAGAATCCTGTTTGGTTAGCCAGATGACCAGAATAACCATATGTCGACTTGAACAATACATTCTTTGGAATTCTTAGATAACTGGACTTTTCATGAAATGCCTATGGCTTAGTATCTACATTTAAATGAAAAGAAAAAAACAGAGAAGAATGTTAGCAACCTAATGGTCTGCTATAAATGGGTGAAAAAAGCATTTAAAACAGTAGGCATCAAAAGAAAATAGCCCCAAGCTTAAAAAAGAAAATAGCAGACCAATTGCTGTTCTTAGTATCACCTATGTACATTATGTTACTAAAGGCTGTTACTGTCTTGTTCATTCAGAGACAGACTTTGTATAGAACAGTAATGTGTTATTGTACTGCATATATTGCCATCTTTTATCTGCCAATTCTTAATAAGGATAATTAACACAGACCCATTTTAACAGTTGATTTTTGTTTGTTTTCTTTTTTTAGCAAGGTTTTCCAATACGACCCAGGCTCATCTTTAACTCAAGATATGCTGTTGCCCCTGGAGTGACTTACAACCATGAGCATTACAGGCAGAACAAGCAGTTTTCTAATCATGTGTTCCCACTATGGATAACAAAATTCAGCATTTCCAATAGAGACCAAGTCCTGACAAATCATACTTCATGACTCAAGATGACAGTTCTGAATATATTCGCTCCATTTCATTTTATTTTTGCCATAAAATAGAGAGATTTTCTTGAAGAACAGTTGTATTTGACATCAACTACAGTGACAGAGTGAATGCCTGATTTTGGAAATAACTATGAATAGCAGGAAACAGAAACAGTGTTATTCTATTCTAGATTTTAAAACAGTGTTTGTCAAACTTTCACTATTTGTAGATGATATGATAGATTACATAAGTGACCCAAAAAAACCTCTACATGGGAACTCCTACAGCTGATAAATACCTTCAGCAAAGTGGCAGGATACAAGATTAACTCAAAAACTTCAGTAGCCCTACTACATATAGACAAAAATGGGCTGTGAAAGAAATCAAAGAAACATCACCCCTTACAATAGCCACAAACAACATTAAATATCTTGACGTAACACTAACCAAACAAGTGGAAGACCTATATAGCAAGAATTTTGAGTCTTTAAAGAAAGAAATTAAAGAAAATATCAGAAAATGGAAAGATCTCCCATGCTCTTGGATAGGTAGGATCAACATAGCAAAAATGGCAATCTTGCTAAAAGCAAGCTACAGATTCAATGCAATCGCCATCTACATCCAAACAGAGTTCTTCACAGAACTTGAAAGAACAGTACTCACCTTTTTACGGAAAAACAAAAAATTCAGGATAGCCAAAACAACACTGCATAATACAGCAACTTCTGGAGGCATCACCAACACTGACATCAAGCTCTTTTATAGAATAATTGTCCTAAAAACAGCTTGGTATTGGCACAAAAATTGACAGGTAGACCAATGCAATCTAATTGAAAACCCTGATATTAACCCACCCATCTATGAGCACCTGATTTTGACAAAGAAGTTAAAGTTATACAATGGAAAAAAGAAAGCATCATCAACAAATGTTACTGACATAACTGGATGCTGACATGTAGAAGGCTGCAGATATATCCATATCTATCACCATACACAAAACTTAAGTCCAAATGGATGAAAGATCTCAACATATATCCAGCCATACTGAACCTCTTAGAACAGAGAATGGAAGGTACTCTTGAACGACTTGGTACAGGAGACTACTTCATGAACATAACACCAGTAGCAGAGACATTGAGATCAACAATTAATAAAAGAGACCTCCTGAAACTGAGAAGCTTCTGTAAGGAAAAGGATAAAGTCAACAAGACAAAACGGTAGCCCAGAGAATGACAAAAGATCTTCACCAACCCCACATCTGACAGAGGGCTAATTTCCAGAATACACAAAGTACTCAAGAAGCTAGCCACCAAAACTACAAAAAGTGGGGTGCAGAACTAAATAGAGAATTCTCAATAGAGGAGTCTATAATCGCTGAAAGACACTTAAGAAAGAGATCAGCATCCTTAGCCATCAGGGAACTGCAACTCAAAACAACTCTGAGATACCATCTTAAATCGGCCAGGATTGCTGAAATAAAAAACACCAATGATAGTCTATGCTGTAGAGGATATGAAGAAATAAGAACACCCCTCCATTGCTGGTGGGAGTGCCCGTTTGTATGACCACTTTGGAAATCAGTATGGCAGTTTCTCAGGAAAATGGGAGCTCAGTCTACCCCAAGATCCAGCAATTCTTCTCTTGGATATATACCCAAATAATACACATTCATACAACACGGACATATGTTCAACTATGCTCATTGCAGTGTTGATTGTAATAGCCAGAACCTGGAAGCCACCTAGATGCTCCTCAAACAAAGAATGGATGGAAAAAATTACACAATGGAGTATTACTCTTCAGAAAAAATCAACAACAATGAAATCTTGAACTTCTCACCCAAATGGATGCAACTGGAAGAAAATATCCTGAGTGAGGTAACCACCCCCAAATGATGTGATGGACTTTGATGGCTCCCATGGAGGGCCTCACTATCCCTGGGGAGTGGTTAGGGGGTGGTTTGGGGGATTGGGTAGGGAGAAAGGGAGGATGGGAGGGCTAGGGAATGGGGACATTGATATGTGAATAAGAGTGCTTCTAAAATTTAAAAAAAAAACCGGGGTGAAAAACAACTCATCACTTTTTTCTTTCTTTTTAGAATCTTCTACAAGAATACCTTAAAGACATCCTATGATTTGAAAAATTGATTTTAGCAAAATAATTTTAAAGTCATACTTTTTATGAACCTCTTTAATTTCCCCTCAATCTGATTGAATATTTTTGTATAAATAAATGTAGATAGCCAGTTAATAGCACATGGATTTTTCATTAAATCTATGATTTTGACAGAAGGAACAAGGGATCTTCCTCTAGGCAATCATATTGTTAACTGATCGAATTCATGATATAGATATTGTAAAATCATGTTCACATGTGAAATGCACAGTTTTAAATTCAATTATATTTACTCATTTTAAATGCAGTTTTAATTTTTTCAGCAATGTATTCAGCCTATTTTTGTGCAGCACATCAGTGAAAATAAAATTTACAGTGTATTTAGTGATTAAATGTGCAGCAATTCACTGATAAATCCAGTCATACAATGAAGGATATTTTTTATTGTCCCATGAAAGAGTTGGTTTTTGAAAAATACTAAACACTAGGTGGCAAACTTTAGTCATAAATACAGAGTTAATCCTGAAACAATGTAAGAGTTTCTTGTAATTTGACACAAAAATGGTTAACAAGATGTTAACATTAATTTTTATCATAATCATCGTTTTATCATGCTTAAGATAAAGGGATTAACAAGATATTTGGAGGAATAGTTCTAAAATGCTAAATTGAGACAGCAAACTAGGATAATCTCCAAAGTAAGTTATAAAATACAAGGTTTGGCAACACCAACAATGATTTAAAATCCTTGATAAATCCTGAAATCCCAGACCCTTCTTCAGAGAAATGACTGATCTTAGATAGGAAAAAGAAGGACAAGAAGAAAAGAAATTCTTTGTGTGGCTTGGATTTAATCTCCAAGATGTTGGTAACATATTTTGTATTAGTGATATTTGGTAAGAGAAACACAGGAATCTGAAAAGAGGTTTAAGAAGGAGGAAGTAAACAAAACATAAGCTTCAAATTAAATGATAGGCCTAAAATAGTAGGACCTAGAGCCACCAAAATTTTAAGAAAAAATCATAATTTTTAAGGAATTTTCATGAGGAATATTTTGTAATATTTTTCACAATGAAATTATCATTAACTGACACACCTTAGGGGGTAAAATCAAGAGTCATCTTGCCTTTAGATTCTATCACACAGTTTTGAAAGGATTAAATCTGAAACTTTACTACAATGTAAAGACTGATCAAGAATAAAAACACATGCTTAAAAGTCATATACTGATTTTCAACATGATGTCCTATTGAAAACTAATGATCTTTCCCTCCAAGATTCAGTTTTGCCTTATGAAAGTTGAAATTCTGGGTTTAAAATTTGTTATTCATTTCTGTTCCGTACATAAAGTCAAGCAAGTCAAATAAACAAAAATGAATTTCGTTTGTCACTTACAAATGTTCACAGACAAAGTCATTGGTCCATAATTGTAGACCATGGTTCTGTTCCACCTGCTCCCACAGCAGATTTAGCCCCAAACAAATACACTGAGGCTTATATTAGTTATAAAATGTTTGGCCAATGGTTTAGGCTTCTTATTAACTAGATCTCTCTTATTCATTAATCCATTTCTTTTAAAGTA